TTACACCTGTAAAATCAGCACTGTGGTTTGCTACCTCATGTAAACCACCTACATGGTACCTGAAAAATCAAAATGGGGTGTCACTCAGTTAGGTCTACACCATAGTAAATGTACAACCTGAAAAACATTGTAAATTACTCCAATACAGCTACCTTCCCTGTTTAAAATGTCACTATTTTGGATATTCTTAAGACTATTAAATACCTAAGCAGGATACCACAATTCTCTGTTTTCTCATCTCCAGATGACAATTTTGAATAACTGCACATTAGCTTAATAAGTTATAAATTTTAAGTTTAATTATTTAACTGATGAGAACCTAACTACTAGTTGAGTGAGTACGTTTAGGGTGTTGGCCACTCCTATGTCAACAGTGCCCCCTTTACACATAAAACGAACATTTCAGCTTTAATATCTGTGCATGGACAATGAACTTTTGTCAGACATTTCCAAGTTAAAATATATTCAACTACACAAAACGGTATGATCTTGCATACAAAAGACAAAAATTTCAAAAGTGGAAGTCCACACATTGTTGATATTGTCTCAAGCAATACAACTGATAGATCCGTCCCTTTTATAGATCCTGTACTTTTTCAGGTCTACAATAATGTCTCTAAAACAGATCATAATTCATTTTAAGTACCATAATGACATGTTTCTCTCAGAGCAGGTAGCATTTCCACAAAACTATCGTCGTGGTATTAAAACTTAAATTTGTAAAAGATATTTGACTGTATCTAATCCATCTTATCAGTCAGGGATATATACCGACACTTACATGTCTGCTATTCCATCTTATCAGTCAGGGATTTATACCACCACTTACATGTCTGCTATTCCATCTTATCAGTCAGGGATATACAGGTTTCACATCATTGTATACCATAAGTACATGATTCACCTTTTTATGTAAGTTTTCAAAACAAACACACCTATCCATTCTCCTTCACTAAACATATTCTTGATAAGTACTACTGTGTGGCATTTTCCACGATTAAGAATTTCAAATTTACATGGCATTCAAATCAGCTATGAAATGCATTTTTTATGTCATCATCATCATAGCATGGAGGCTATTGTGTGCATGTGGTTAAACAGTTGGGATTGGGATTGTTTTTGAGAAATACAACTGTAAATCAAATTCCTTTATTCGAAACCCAAAATCCCAGTCCCCAGGGACACAAGCTCTACTATACAGATTATGATCACCTTGCCCCGTTGATATTTCAAACCAAATATAATGGCAATCTGTGCAACAGAATTGGAAGCAAAAATGTCCTAAATTTGGTTTTTGACCTGTCCTCTGGACTTTGTTGAGCCAAATCCTTTGTTTACAAAGAATGTTATCCCTTAATGGTCCAAGGATACTTTAGTTTGTATGTCCTATTGACACCTTTGGTCATTTAAGGATGGGCCAGGTTTTTCTGATGGAGGAAAGCTGGAGTGCCCAGATAGAAACTTGTGGCCATGAGTATCTGGTGACTGCCCAAAGTAGGCCTTGGACCTGCGACCCAGTAGTTGAGGGCTTAAGTGATCATAGACATCAGATGACTTAACCACTCGGCTGACCCAGTGGTGGAGGGCTAGTGATCCTAGACATCAGCTGACTTAACCACTCGCTGACCCAGTGGTTGAGGGCTAGTGATCCTAGACATCAGATGACTTAACCACTCAGCTGACCCAGTGGTGGAGGGCTAGTGATCCTAGACATCAGATGACTTAACCACTCAGCTGACCCAGTGGTGGAGGGCTAGTGATCCTAGACATCAGATGACTTAACCACTCAGCTGACCCAGTGGTGGAGGGCTAGTGATCAAAGACATCAGATGACTAAACCACTCGCCGACCTAGTGGTTGAGGGCCAGTGATCATAGACATCAGATGAGTAAACCACTCGCCGACCCAGTGGTTGATGGGTAGTGATCCTAGACATCAGATGACTGAACCACTTGCTGACCCAGTGGTTGAGGGCTAGTGATCCTAGACATCAGATGACTTAACCACTCAGCTGACCCAGTGGTGGAGGGCTAGTGATCATAGACATCAGATGACTAAACCCCTCGCTGACCCAGTGGTGGAGGGCTACATGGAGTGATCATAGACATCAGATGACTTAACCCCTCGCTGACCCAGTGGTTGAGGGCTAGTGATCCTAGACATCAGATGACTTAACCACTCGGCTGACCCAGTGGTGTAGGGCTAGTGATCATAGACATCAGATGACTAAACCACTCGCCGACCCAGTGGTTGAGGGCCAGTGATCATAGACATCAGATGAGTAAACCACTCGCTGACCCAGTGGTTGATGGGTAGTGATCCTAGACATCAGATGACTGAACCACTTGCTGACCCAGTGGTTGAGGGCTAGTGATCATAGACATCAGATGACTTAACCACTCGCTGACCCAGTGGTTGAGGGCTCGTGATCCTAGACATCAGATGACTTAACCACTCGCTGATCCAGTGGTTGAGGGCTAGTGATCAAATACATCAGATGACTTAACCACTCGGCTAACCCAGTGGTTGATGGCTAGTGATCAAAGACATCAGATGACTTAACCACTCGCTGATCCAGTGGTTTAGGGCTAGTGATCATAGACATCAGATGACTTAACCACTCGCCGAACCAGTGGTTGAGGGCTAGTGATCAAAGACATCAGATGACTTAACCACTCGCTGACCCAGTGGTTGAGGGCTAGTGATCATAGACATCAGATGACTTAACGACTCGGCTAACCCAGTGGTTGATGGCTAGTGATCAAAGACATCCGATGACTTAACCACTCGGCTGCTGTGGCCACCTGTAAGGATACTTCACCCCAAGTTTAGTTAATATCTCGTATATAAACCCATACTGAAAGAGTAGGATTTTAAACACTAACATGTTTTTCTCCCATTGTGCCTTGCTTGTCCCTCTGCCTCAAAAATACCACACCCGTCTTTACAGTGTAAGAGGAAATAGAAAAGATCCATACACACAGGCTATAAGTGCATGAGAAAATAAAAAGACACAGTTTTTAAAGGGTAAGAAGAAATGACCAAGCTGGTGCTGGAAAGCTAAGGGAATTCTAAAATAGCGATGGTGATATCACTATAAAACTGGTAGAATTATCTGTGATAAGTTTGCTAATTGTAAGATTCTTTTTGATCAGAAAGGGTTCCGTTAATGACCCATGTATAACTGGTGCTCCCGTCTTTACATGTATCACTGTATATGTGGCAATATGTGGCATACAGATATCTTCAAACAGAACGCCTCATTTCATTCAGGATTCGGGCAATAAAAACTCATCAACTGCATTTTCTCCTAACTTACTGATTCCCTCATGTAAACAACTTTATTAACATATAAGGAGAATGTAATGAGCTAAATAGCCTGAGTGTGTGGACTTTTATATAATACTGACACACAAACCCATTACTATATCGCCCTAGGAGATTTTACCTCAACAACAATAGATCTCATCTCTTACTTAATTTTACTTACTTCTCCATTCTTCAGGGACCCGACTATTGTAAATTGCACTTACCTCACCTAAATCAGTAGTTTAGAATTAAATAAGACATTCTTCATAAAGTGAGGCCCCCAGCAGAGATATCTCACACCTGTCCTGTTCACCCCTTCTTGGCTATAATGGGATCTACCCAGAGATATCTCACACCTGTCCTGTTCACCCCTTCTTGGCTATAATGGGATCTACCCAGAGATATCTCACACCTGTCTTGTTCACCCTTCCTGGCTATAATGGGATCTTCCCAGAGATATCTCACACCTGTCCTGCTCACCCTTCCTGGCTATAATGGGATCTACCCAGAGATATCTTACACCTGTCCTGTTCACCCTTCCTGGCTATAATGGGATCTTCCCAGAGATATCTCACACCTGTCCTGCTCACCCTTTCTGGCTATAATGGGATCTACCCAGAGATATCTCACACCTGTCTTGTTCACTCCTTCTTGGCTATTATGGGATCTACCCAGAGATATCTCACACCTGTCCTGTTCACCCCTTCTTGGCTATAATGGGCTCTCCATCTTACTGATTAACATATCTCATAGCTATCAACAACAGCAAAACTTCACGAAAATTGACAAAAACTTATATTTAGGATATGATATATTTAAAATGTTTATTAGCAATTATGTCAATGCACCTATTTCCAGCTCTTTATATATGTTTAAAATATCTTATCCAATTTCAATTTTGTTTCCCTTTAATTATCAAACTAAAATTAAATTTGAAGGTACAGATTTTAATTTTAATGTACCGGGATTTTTTTTTTTAGAATTGATAAAATGGTTTATCTAATTATAAAAGCTATTAATTTCTTCTAGAGAGTAGACACAACCTCCTATTACTGCAGTGTTCGTTACTATGTCAGTTCGTTACAATGTCTCAGCATTGCTCACCACAGTACCTCCGACAATAAACACCACTCCGACATGATGACACTCGCTGTATCTGACAAACATGTCTGCCAAATTCCAGTTAACATCACAGGTGCTACAGGGAGGTTACTCCAGTCGTCAAGTCAATTTTTCGCATCCTCCCTGTAAGGTCATTTAGTTCCAAAGTCACCTGTGCTTATATTACACACTGCACATGCACAAGTACAAATTCTTTTTCAGCAATCATGTTACGAATTTTTCCTGTTTGGAAAAGCATTTAGTACGTTTCTACATAACAAACAGTGCTGTATAAGGGTCAGTGGGGTCATGATAAATTTTGAGATAAGTGTAGTTTTCACAATATCCAAGTTAAAATATAGGGCCATATCAAAATCTCCTTGGACTCTCAAATGACCCCATCAACAGGTGATCACGACCCTGTACTACTGTTGTGTTACATGGACAACCAGTCAGTCATGAAATGACCGTTGTCACCTGTTTTTTTTATTAGGTATGTAACAGTTTGTTTGATTGAATGTCCTATCTGTATGTGATATTAATTAAGATCAGCTGTCAATCCCTGCCCTATACATGTACTGTATACTCACCATATATAGCCTCCCCTCAAACAGGCACTCCCCTGGAGATAGAAGAAAGAATTCATGAAACATCCACAAAATTATTATTTCATCTTATTTCTGTGAAAAAAAATTGGATTATGAACCTATGTGTATAAACATGCCATAAACTGTTCACATGTTGTTACCAAAGTAAGAACTGGAAGTCCTTATCAACAGTCTCTTGTTCAATGTCCTGGGTACTCCCTAAGATTGCCAGGGGCCACAATGACAGATAACAAGGCCAAATTATGGCTTTTATCAAGAAAACACTTTTTTAATTGAATTTTTAGACCAGAATGTTTAAAAAGTTAAACTAAATAGCACCTTTCATGATTTTAAATGAAATTGTGCCTTGGTCGGTTGATCTCTTCAGATATGGCAATCATTAGTGTTTACCAAGCCTATGTTTATCTACCTCACGGATATATTACTGTCAAGTAGGATAAAAGTAGAAGTGAGGTCCTCCTCTGTCAACCACAAAGGATAATGTGTTACCTCATATAACACTACACACAAATATCTTTTTCCAACACTTGTAAAACTTTCTAAAACATCAACTACAAATAATAAATGTCATCTGTTATATAGAAGGAAACATGACAGAGAAAATGAACTTTAGAACCAGTAAGACATCTCCATTTTTGTGGCTCTATGATGACATAACCGTTTCACAACGTCTGCACTTTTAATGAGAAAAAAACGAAATTTAATTAAATATCCATTTTGAGAATATTTCATTCAAAGTGTCGCGCTTATCTCTACAGAGATACAAAGTGACTCCTGCCTCTACTGCTGGTCCGCATCATATTTCAACATTTTATGAATTGATATGTCAAGTCATGGCTTCTCAGCAAATTCTGATAGCATAGCTTTATCAGTTTGCTCAAATTGAGTGGAGTACAGTGAAGGGAATTGATAGGTGGAAACAACGTGTTGATATGGCATTATTAGTTAGTGATGACGGAGGACACACTGCTTTGGAAATGATAAAACAATGTGTGGCAAAGAGCGGTACATTACAAGGAAACAAAGAGATGAATCATTTTTATGATATATCTATCAATTATAATCATAGAATTGTTTCTGGGGTGATAACATTTTTTCAATAGACAGTTTTCGAAAACGTAGCTGGGGCTGCACCATCCGGATTTTGATTCAATTTTTTTTTTCAACCAGTACTGTTTTGGGATAATTTACTTTCACATTGGGACAGGCCTTGTAATTGGGAATGGGGCCTAAACTTGGTCCCATATCCTGTCCAAAATATTGATTTTAACTCCAACTCAATAACTGTCTTCTAGACTTACCGTATTTGACCACAAATAAGCCCCCTCCTGCAAAGAAGCCCCCCCCCCCCCTCCCCACTTTGGCAAAAGTCTTTACAGAATATTTTCAGTCTCCTACCTTTCTTCAGTTTCATTGAGGAAACTTGTCTTGATTTATGTCCTGTATACTTTGTATACATAGTTACATTCAAAATGTAATGATGGTAATACTTAAAAATGGACAGGACTTACATCTAGATCCTTAGTGAGACTGAAACACAGGAGCCTGATATTATTCTGCAAAGAGAGTATTATCAAACTGACGGTACATCTCCGTTTGCTCATTTATATGAATAAGAGCTAATGAATTTTATTTTTTATCATTAAAGTTGCAGACATTGTGACATGATAACATCATCGTAGACCACTGCTTCTGTAAAGCTTTTAGTATTTCACCTACATGGTTGTGTATTTTTCCCAAAATTATACCTCTATTACTTTTATTGGTATATTAAACATTAACATGAATCGCTAGGAACAGTCAATCTGTTACAACATACTTTGCCAGGTAAACAATAGGAGAGGGAGTACACAAAGTCTTGTCCAGTATAATAGACAACAGGGAAGGGAGTACCCAAACTCTTGTCTATTATAATAGACAACAGGGAAGGGAGAACCCAAAGTCTTGTCCAGAATAATATACAACAGGGAAGGGAGTACCCAAAGTCTTGTCTAGTATAATAGACAACAGGGAAGGGAGTACCCAAAGTCTTGTCTATTATAATAGACAACAGGGAAGGGACTACCCAAAGTCTTGTCCAGTATAATAGACAACCGGGAGGGGAGGTAGTACCCAAAGTCTTGTCCAGTATAATAGACAAAGGGGAAGGGAGTACCCAAACTCTTGTCTATTATAATAGACAACAGGGAAGGGAGGACCCAAACTCTTGTCTATTATAATAGACAACAGGGAAGGGACTACCCAAAGTCTTGTCCAGTACAATAGACAAAGGGGAAGGGAGTACCCAAACTCTTGTCTATTATAATAGACAACAGGGAAGGGAGTGCCCAAAGTCTTGTCCAGTATAATAGACAACAGAGAAGGGAGTGCCCAAAGTCTTGTCTAGTATAATAGACAACAGGGAAGGGAGTACCCAAAGTCTTGTCCAGTATAATAGACAACAGGGAAGGGAGAACCCAAAGTCTTGTCCAGTATAATATACAACAGGGAAGGGAGTACCCAAAGTCTTGTCCAGTATAATAGACAAAGGGGAAGGGAGTACCCAAACTCTTGTCTATTATAATAGACAACAGGGAAGGGAGTACACAACAAGACAAGACACAACACCTGCATTCCGGTATTTATCACTACAGGTAAATATGCAGGTGTGATTATCTGTTGTATATCTGAACAAGAAATATACATCAAACCAATCGTTCTGTTATGTGAGGCCAAATGTATCACTGACAATATTCCTGTCAAAAACCCCTCTGATTTAACAGCAAGTCTTGTGGATTAGTCTATCCTTGCCAATGATTCTGTAATACCCAGTAACACCCTAAACCATCAAGTGTTGTGGATTAACCTTGCCAATGATTATGTAATACCCAGTAACACCCTAAACCATCAATTGTTGTGGATTAGCCTTGCCAATGATTCTGTAATACCCAGTAACACCTTAAACCATCAATTGTATTCTTCAACCCCATGGTCAAATGTTGCAGACAAAAAATATCAAACGTCACATGGTGATTTAGCAGGCCAATACAAATATTATGTTTATGATTTCTATTCACTGTTTGCTACAATTAGAGAGATAATGTCAATGATACTAAATTGTATCGCCAACTGCTGAGGAGTCGACAGTCACAACTATGGAGGTCTTGGCTTTCAACCGTTTTTTTCTCATTTAAATGCTTTTAATGGGTGCATTAATGTAACATTGCCTTTCTATGGAGCAATTGACAATGTACTTGAAAGAGCCTCCAGTAAGAAGCTGATGTTTGATGTCTTAAAGCATGCTTGAGGAGTTAACAGGCAGAATAGCATATTTTTTTTTAAGCATTTCAATCTTGTGCACGAATGAGTTACTGGGTTTGAACAAGAAACAAGACAGAAATTATCTCTAACAAAATGCAAAATTTTCAATCCAAACAGAATTGGAAGATGAATACCAAGAGCTTGGATTAAATTTAGGATAGTTCATATTGATTGGAGTAGCATATCCCCAAGTGTTCCTCCATATATAATATAACAGAGAAAATCCAGACACTATTGTTTCAGCAATAATTAAAAAAAACACCTTCCTGTACTAGAAACAACATTTGGCACTTATTTGTTTTGATTATTGATTAATTCTAAAATAGTCTTTTATCATTTTGATTAAAATGTCAAATCCAAAAAAGTGAGCCTGATTTTTACCTGCCATCATACCTGTTCTGCTGACATGTAATGTTTTAAGCTGGATGGTTCGATTAAAACAAAGTCCTACCTATTTATAGATTATATGCACTAAGATTGTTGCTATATAAAGGAGGTAAGAATTCAAATTTATGAATTACCTGGGCCTAACACAGAGCAGCTGAATACAGAACCATGTCAAGTCCATGTACTTGTCCATGTCTACACAAATTCTACAAATATCGGCCACAGCTTTTTGTGTTATAATCTCGTGTACTTTACATGTAATGACAATCCTATCATATTTCAGACATTCAATGTATAAATGTCACAGGAACACTGTGACATTGGTATTCATTTACATTTATCAGTTATAGGTAATATTAGAGTATTAAACACAAGGTTTGTGTGTTAAAGAGACAATGTCCCGAACTTACCTCTAAGTTCATGCATCAGTGAACTCCACATTAGCATTATACATACTAACGATAAATCATATCTTCTCTCCTTAGAATCAACACATATAATACTCCACATTTTGACTTTACTTAAATCCACAGTTTAAATGTAAAACTACATCACTGACTAAATTGTCTATTTTTCTAGAATAAATTCACACAGATCACGATTTGTAACAAAGTATTTACATCCAAAATAAGGATACTGAAGCATGGCTGGTATTATTCCTTCTGGCAGATAAAATCACATTTTAAGTATGTAACGGTTATTATAAATTATCAAGTATCTCTAAAACGTTAAGCAATCAGTGTGAATTTCCAGTCCCAATTAACCAGTAATAGCACAGGCAGGGAAGACATTCAAAGTTCAGGCTGTCATACTTAATGTTCACTCAGCACTTGCTTTTTAAAGTCAAACATCAACACAGTTGTCTGTAGAACGAGCACGTGTATGAGTGTATACATATCCCAGCTCATATACACCTGTACACATCCGCAGGTATCCAAACTAATCAACAGGTAGGGCTAGCACAGGTGTATAATGACTACTGTGATGGTCAAGCCTAGCTGGACCAGTCCTGTCTCCCTGGTGTTAGCATGCTGACCCTAACAGCCCGCGCGTGTTTGACGTTTAGCGGTGAGCGCCGACTAGCATTATGAACTGCCTTTGTACGTAATACAAGACTGGCAGGTATAATAGGGATCACACCGCCTGCACCGTGTAACAGTCGCGGGAGTGCTCGGGAGGCTTAGATCGCTGTCAGTTCAGCTTTAACCCTCTCTAGACAGCATACGCTTTAATCTTTGTTAGAAATCTTATATTTTCACGCACACAAGAAATGAGGGGAATGACAGACAGTTTACTTCAAGCTGGTATTGGTGCAGAGAGTGAAAATATGACACGGGGTGGGTACTAAACGTCAAAGAACAATTTTATTGTAGACTTGCCTCAATGTTGACACACACTGGGACCTGAGAATTTGTTACCGCTATATCTGGACCTAAACTAAGGTGTCCAGAGTAATTTTACATGATTTTGGGGTTTAGATCGACTTTCGGTAAAAATAACACCCCGAATGATGAACAAATTAGTCCGGTTTTCCCGCCAATATAAGGGTGCATTTGAATGATACTGATACAGAATTCGAATGAGAAACAACGATACTACATATAAATGTAACGTGGATTCCATGGGCGGACATCGGGGAGGGTTAGTGGTATGTTTACCTGTATGTATGTATATACTTCTTTGACCCATATATGTATATATATATATATAGTTACCAGAGTCTACTTGGCGCGAGGCGTTGGAGTGAGCGACAAAGTTGCGAGTATATGTGCATGAGATTGTCATATTCCATTTTAAAATCTAATTTATAATGAAAAAAATATTACTTAGAAATGGAATTTCTCACATCATGTATTAGCAAATTACAACAAAGGTATAATGAAGGTCCGAGGACTTTTTCGAAAAGTTTAATGTGTGGGGGAAAACAACAAAGTTAAGTTGGATTTCTTCTTGTGACGTCGCAATACGACATTCCTAACACTAATGTTTTTCGGAATTACTGAAGCAGATTTATTCATATAGAAAACATAATTGATTGACAGAATATTGTAAGAGCAGTTATATTCATTGTTTTTCTCTCGCGCATTCGTTCTGCACGTGTAGTGTCAACACAAGTGTGCGTGTGTGTGTGTGAGCTTATAACTCGACTCACGTGTTAGTGTGTACAAACCACGACTGACGTAAGGGTTTTGTGTGCACATAACACGACTCACTTATTAGTGTGCACATAACACGACTCGCGCATTCGTTCTGCACGTGTAGTGTCAACACAAATGTGTGTGTGTGTGTGTGTGCTTATAACTCGACTCACGTGTTAGTGCGGACAACCCACGACAGACGTACGCGTGTTGTGTGTACATAACACGACTCACTTATTAGTGTGTACATAACACGACTCACTTGTTAGTGTGTACATAACACGACTCACGTGTTGTTTTGTACATAACTCGACTCACGTGTTAGTGTGTACATAACACGACTCACGTGTTAGTGTGTACATAACACGACTCACTTATTAGTGTGTACATAACACGACTCACGCGTTAGTGTGTACATTACACGACTCAACTGTTATTGTGTACATAACACGACTCACGCGTTTGTGTGTACATAACACGACTCACGCGTTAGTGTGTACATTACACGACTCAACTGTTATTGTGTACATAACACGACTCACGCGTTTGTGTGTACATAACACGACTCACGCGTTAGTGTGTACATTACACGACTCACGCGTCTGTACGAGTCACGTGTTAGGGTGTACATAACACGACTCACGTGTCAGTGTATACATAACACGAGTCACGTGTTAGTGTGTACATAACACGACTCACGCGTTAGTGTGTTCATAACACGGCTCAGGCGTTAGTGTGTACATAACACGACTCACTTATTAGTGTGTACATAACACGACTCACTTATTAGTGTGTACATAACACGACTCACGCGTTAGTGTGTTCATAACACGGCTCAGGCGTTAGTGTGTACATAACACGACTCACTTATTAGTGTGCACATAACACGACTCACGCGTTAGTGTCTACATAACACGACTCACTTATTAGTGTGTACATAACACGACTCACTTGTTAGTGTGTACATAACACGACTCACGCGTTAGTGTGTACATTACACGACTCAACTGTTATTGTGTACATAACACGACTCACGCGTTTGTGTGTACATAACACGACTCACGCGTTAGTGTGTACATAACACGACTCACGCGTTAGTGTGTACATAACACGACTCACGCGTTAGTGTGTTCATAACACGACTCACGCGTTAGTGTGTACATAACACGACTCACTTATTAGTGTGCACATAACACGACTCACTTATTAGTGTGCACATAACACGACTCGCGCATTCGTTCTGCACGTGTAGTGTCAACACAAATGTGTGTGTGTGTGTGTGTGCTTATAACTCGACTCACGTGTTAGTGCGGACAACCCACGACAGACGTACGCGTGTTGTGTGTACATAACACGACTCACTTATTAGTGTGCACATAACACGACTCACGCGTTAGTGTGTACATAACACGACTCACTTATTAATGTGTACATAACACGACTCACGCGTTAGTGTGTACATTACACGACTCAACTGTTATTGTGTACATAACACGACTCACGCGTTTGTGTGTACATAACACGACTCACGCGTTAGTGTGTTCATAACACGACTCACGCGTTAGTGTGTACATAACACGACTCACTTATTAGTGTGCACATAACACGACTCGCGCATTCGTTCTGCACGTGTAGTGTCAACACAAGTGTGCGTGTGTGTGTGTGAGCTTATAACTCGACTCACGTGTTAGTGTGTACAAACCACGACTGACGTACACGTGTTGTGTGTACATAACACGACTCACTTATTAGTGTGTACATAACACGACTCACTTATTAGTGTGTACATAACACGACTCACGCGTTAGTGTGTACATTACACGACTCAACTGTTATTGTGTACATAACACGACTCACGCGTTTGTGTGTACATAACACGACTCACGCGTTAGTGTGTACATTACACGACTCAACTGTTATTGTGTACATAACACGACTCACGCGTTTGTGTGTACATAACACGACTCACGCGTTAGTGTGTTCATAACACGGCTCAGGCGTTAGTGTGTACATAACACGACTCACTTATTAGTGTGCACATAACACGACTCGCGCATTCGTTCTGCACGTGTAGTGTCAACACAAGTGTGTGTGTGTGTGTGTGAGCTTATAACTCGACTCACGTGTTAGTGTGTACAAACCACGACTGACGTACGCGTGTTGTGTGCACATAACACGACTCACTTATTAGTGTGCACATAACACGACTCACGCGTTAGTGTGTACATAACACGACTCACTTATTAGTGTGTACATAACACGACTCACTTGTTAGTGTGTACATAACACGACTCACGCGTTAGTGTGTTCATAACACGACTCACGCGTTAGTGTGTAAATAACACGACTCACGCGTTAGTGTGTACATAACACGACTCAC